CACAAGTTTGATCGCTTCAGGGGTTCCAATTCCCGCACCTCTCGGATCTCCAGCAGGCCCAAACCTGCAGCGTCGGTGCAATCAATATACAACATCAGTTTTATCAAAATATCGTATCAGTGCAGTTGCTAACTGTAAAATGTGCGATGAGGCACGTGTCAGTGTTGCTCCTTCATTGCTATATGGTTGTTTATACTTCCTATCTGATTTTCAATATAGGATCCTCTATAGGATATCCCCACACACACACCCTAAAAAAACTGAAAATTGAAATCTTAACGATGGTTGAATACATATTCTACTAACCAGTGATTTTGGGGAGCTCCTGTTGTCCTTGCTCTCATACCAGCATATGTCGTCCCATTCACAGATCTCCCAAGAACTTCCTGGTGGAGATTGAAAGAATAAAACAAAAGAATTGCCTTTAGGTCATTCAACTTATTTGTTTGTTTTGAGGGAAATTTTGTTGGAAAAAGGGATTTCTGTCTCAGAAATCCTCTCTTAGCTGGTGGGATTTTGGAGAGGAGAAAAACAGACCCTACATTTGGCTTTGCTTACAGCCAAACGAAAAGCAAAATTTGGGAAAGTTCAGAGCTTTGGAGAATTCAGACCTCATCCGAATTCTAAAACCCCTACTTTCTCAGCCAAACAGCTCCTTAGATTTTATCAATGAATAGATGTGAAAATAGAGTGCAAAATAAACCGTGCTCAAGATTTTCAGTGATCTTGCCTGCAAGAATAATTGATCGTTCGATACAACTGCAGCAGTTAGATGAGCATGCATCCTCTCACAAGCATCCAAAACCATGTTAAGTTGATCTTGCTTGTACTGTGTAACAATCTGCCAAAGATACAAATTAGTGGAAGAAATAATAGTAGAGGATGCTATGATATATATAAATTAAATATCTTCATGATCTCAAACATGTTATCTTGGTGAAAAATATCTGAATGTAGAATTATCTCTTTCTTATACCTAACTCATGCATGAGATCTTACCTCACAAACCTATTTGGGATATAAATGAATAACATAATATGAATCGCTTATAAGTTCACCCTAGAAGATCATCGATTGGAATTAAGAGACCGGGAAAAAAAATTCATCTTCAACCATATTTTCAAGTAGAGACTAAGCACACTTCTTTCCCACTAAGAAGCACTACGGTGCACTTCGCCAATATTATGTATAAAACTGTCTTTTACAAGTCAGTACTTTACCTGGAAGGGGCCAAAAATTTCTTTTGTCACCAAAGCAAAATTGTTTTCTTAGATATTGGAAGGATTTGTAGATAAGACGGTGGAACTAAACCCCATAAATTTCATAATTCTTAATTACATTATCCACCAGAAGAGGGTTCAATAAAATAAAAGCAACTGCAAGCATTGTGTAAGATCAAGCAACCTACAATGAGGTAAGGCATAGAATTGGTAACAAAAATAAAGCTAAGGAAAGTTGACAAATTTCTTTATAGAAACTCTTAACGGTGATTAATGGCGAATAACATGCACTGTGAAAGCAACTTTGTGCTATTACTAGGTCATTTATTTCCCCAACTCATGTATAAAATCTGTATTGCAATCATTAATCTACTCCTCTATACTTAAGGAGGATCTAAAGAATCAATGTTTATGTCACAGTAATGTCACAGTAAATACTATAGCATGAACAATAAATCACATCGATGTTACTGCTTATGCTACAGTAATTTACTGTGTCGTGAATCAAATCTGCTCCTCCATACTTGAAATTACTATTCATGCTACAGTCAGTTTCTCATAAACAGTAAAGCAAATCAATTATTAAAACTTGCATCCTCCTTTAAGTATAAAGGACTAGATATGATTTTTAAATCAACTGTATTAAAACTTGGATCATTCTTTAAGTATAGAGTAGATATGATTTCTAATTTTAAGCATACAATAATCAAATCAAATGTATTAAAACTTAGCGGAAGGCCAATTTAAAATGCAGTGCTTAAAAAAATAGTGGGCCGTGTTTTGCACGGAGTGCACCCTAGTATATTATGGTGTTGGAACTATCGCCAAGCTTAAGCTTCTAAATTATCTGGTTAACATTCTTCGCTTCTTAAATAAATCTGTACTCCT